AATAAAAAAATAAATAAAATAAACAATTAAAAAGATTGATATAATAAGCACTACTTACTAAAATATTCATCGATTTTAAATCCTAATAATAAAACCAAAAATAAATTAATATAGCCAAAATCATCAATATTGTTTATAAATGACACTCAACCTACTCTATGAATAATGCTAGGACGTCGTGTGTGTAAGTAAGTAACGCCCAGGGAAATATCATGCATGAACATTATCTAAAAGTTGCGAAAACAATCACAAAGTGATTAAAAAAACTGTTATTTAAAAATTCATTCGAAGTCAAATGTAATATAATAACTAAATGCCACATTGGCTATATATCAAAAAAAAAACTAATAGCAATTAATACTCGTAGTCAATGTAATATATAATCTACGTGACATTTTATATTTTATACTATTTGATTCATTTGAATTCAATAAAATTATACGCAACCTGCTGAGCAAATGATGGTTTTGGATATGCTCTCATATAATCAAACAAATCACCATTCTCACATAACTCTGTAACGATGCATATATGTTTTGTATTTGTAGATACACCGATGAAGCGTATAATATTCTCATGACGTAGCTGCCTTTTTATGAATATTGAAAGTTCATTTATAATCAAACATTTATATCAACTTTATTAAATTAATAAGGACGAATATTTAATAAGTGAGTGCACGTAACACTTACTTGAGAACATTTATTTCATGTCTGATTTCTTTAAAATCTGAATCAGAAAAATTCGCTACTCGAAGTTCCCCAATAGCAACCAATTCCTAACAAATTATTCAACTCCAATTATTCTAATGCATATCCATATATACACATATATAACAAATATATAATAAATTACCCCTTTATATCGTCCCATATAACAATCTTTGAATCCACCTGATCCCAATTTTTTTCCTATTTCTAATTCGTCATAACGAATTTCTTTTGATATATCTTCATCATCAAGAAGTAACGACATAAATACAGTATTCATCTTCTCATGTCGTACATTAGTTCCATCTACCGAAATAAGACGCGGAGTTGAAGGTGCAGGAACTGGGCGTGTATTTACTTTCTTTAAAAAATTTATATGAAAAATATCAATCACATAATCTTTTAATGATAAAATTGATAAAATATAATTGATAATAGATAATATTAAACAACATATATATCTATCTACCCAATCCAAGAGTCGTTTTATCAACGTGAGTTTATCACCTTCCGCATTCAACTCTGTACGATTAAATATTAATGTTAACCTGGCTAAATTTTTAAGAAAGTCGAAAACTTACTTCGATCTTGGCATAAAGCGATTAACTCTGCCCACGTTTTTTCATTGAGAGTTTCCTGGGTCTCATTCTCTAGTGCCTCATCTGCAAAAATTATGAATTATTGTGGACAATTATTAGTCAATTAAATTATAATTCTGTAATTATTAATGTACAGTACAAAATATCAAAATAATTACCAGTATGATGGTCTAGAGTTTGAAAGGGTGGCATTGCTGTACAGTTTATTTTCTAAAAAATTTTAATTTCCCCAATTTGTAAGTACCATGTGAAACCAAAAAAAAAAAAAAAAAAAGAAAGCGAATTAAGAAAAGCAAAGTACTTACCAACATGGATCACCATAAAATTCCTAATGAATCAATCTTCTTTGAAAAGAAAATCTTATTCTGCTAAAAAAAAAAAAAGCTCCCGGCAACCAAATTTTATTTTTATTCAAAAAAAATAAAAATAGTCTTTATATATATATATATATTTTAGTATAAATTCGTAATTACATCATTTCTAAAATAATGATCCCTTATTTAAAATGTGCACTGTAACACTACCAATGTAATCTCTTGATTTGTCATATTTATTATAGGAGTTTCTAAACAATCTTAACGCCCCACACTTTATATTATTGATAAAATCTACCCATATGTAGTATTAAGTCAATGCACCCTGACGATTAATTTATATAAAGAAAACATATTAAGAAATTCTTGTTTGTACGAGAAGCATCTTTGGATTTATTTATTTATCAATGTTTATAAAACATTTCTAATTCCTGTTTCTCGATTTTTGTAGAGGGAAGATTTATTACTGTTACATTTAATTTAGATTGTGTTGATCGGAATGATTGGCTATTTTCCAGTTAAAGCTGGGGCACAAAGTTTAAGGATTGTACCCGGGTAAAATTTTATTATATGACTATATAATAATTTACCAGAATAACCAGATTCCTGGATAAAGATTTTCAAATTTTAACTTTTCGGATAAGCCTTTAAGCTAAAAGGCATGTAATTATAAAGAATAAATACCAAAATTCAACAGATTGACTAAAATTTAGGGTCATAATAGGCCGGAGCTAGGCCGGCATTAAGCAATAATACCGGCCAACTAAGTTTCTGCGCACACTATTAAAACAGTGTATAAGTCTAGCATCACAACTGATCTCTAAAAAATTTCGCTGACTATGTGATATTAAAAAATAACTGTTTCGCAATTAGTTGGTCCTGCTAAACCCCTGTAATACCACTAGTTCTAAAAGCACTTGTAACATTAGTAGCGCTAAATAGCGCTAAAAAGCGTTAAAAGATGTATTAATAGAATAATAGTAAAAGACTATAATGATCAAAATGTATAAATAGACTCACTTATCGCTCTTGTAAAAAGACAGTTCAATACTCAACAAACTAATAAAGAAGTAATTGTGTCTTCATACATGAACAACTCGAACACCTTATTAAGTTCAATACTCAACAAACTAATAAAGGAATGATCGTGTCTTCATACACGAGCGACTCGAACACTTTATTAAGTTCTAAAATCAACAACTCAATAATAGTAAAAGAGTAATCGTGTTTTCATACACGAACTCGAATACTTTATTAAACAAACAATAAAATTAATAATCCCCTAAAGAGTAATCGTGTCTTCATACACAGATAACTCGAATAAAACAGTAAATCAGTTATAGTGTCTTCATACACGAATAACTCGAGTACCTTATTGAAATAAATCATAAACTTGTTATACGACTACTTGTATCTTCATATACATTTAGCCGTTTGCCTCTTTTGTAACTGCAATAAACTCTATACTTTACTCAAGTATTCGTTATCAATCGTCTAACATATCCGTCGCTAAAGTAAAACCGTCATACCGAACTTATAAGAGGTAGTTTAGGGTGTAACAATACCACATTCACATTTTACACTATAATGACCATGATCTTTAGCCTGACACTTCTTTTGGGAATCTTCCATCTTGTGAAGAAGTAATAAGATCTGATGGAGATGAAGAAGTCGAATTCATAGTTTGAATTAAAGAATTTTAAAATAATGTAATATTATTGGTAACAGTATTTTTTATAAATTAATTTAATTGGCTATTAGTTTTGGCATAAATTTCGGCTTTAGGCAATGCCGAATGCGAAATAGTTTCTACGGCATGTTTAGGTGGGACCTGTTACACCCGGAACTACCTCTTATAAGTTCGGTATAACGGTTCTATTTTAGCGACGGGTATGTTAGACGATTGATAGCGAATACCGTTTTATGATTGAGTAAAGTATAAGTTTATTGCAGTTACACTTTAAGAGGATTATGGTGATTTGCACTTGCAAAAGAGGCAAACGGCTAAATGTATATGAAGATACAAGTAGTCGTATAACAAGTTTATGATTTATTCAATAAGGTACTCGAGTTATTCGTGTATTAAGACACTATAACTGATTTACTACTTTATTCGAGTTATCTGTGTATGAAGACGCGATTACTCTTTAGGGGATATTAATTTTATTATTTGTTTAATAAAGTATTCGAGTTCATCTATGAAGACACGATTACTCTTTATGAGTTGTTGAGTATAGGACTTAATAAAGTGTACGAGTTGTTCGTGTATAAAGACACGATCACTCCTTTATTAGTTTGTTGAGTATTGAGCTGTCCTTTTACAAGAGCAATAAGTGAGGCTATTTATACATTTTGATCATTATAGTCTTTTACTATTATTTCTATCAATACACCCTTTAGCACTTTTTAGCCTACTTAGCGCTATTTAGCGCTACTAATGTTACAAGTGCTTTAGAACTAGTGGTATTATCTGCCATATCGCAACTTGATTATAATTGCCGTCCAAACCTAACTAGTTTGGGACTTTCTAAGGTATTAACCATTATTTGGGACTAGTTAAAGCCGTGAAACTGTCCCGAACTTACTGCATGAAATGGGATTTGAGACAAAATTTCAGTTATAACTAGTTTGGACTAATAGTTATAACTATTTGGACGGCAACTATAAACTTGATCACGGAAGTAAAAAGCTATCTTGTTCTGCTTATCTGGAATATTCAGGAATTTATAAAAAGTTTATCAATTAGAAAATGGTTTATTCCTTGACAGCAATAAAAGCAATTAGTTAAATTTATCTGCGTTTCAATGTTAATACTTGGGGCAAAATATCTGGGTCTGTTATTTGAGTCAATTAAATATTTTGCACATTTATTCATTTTAAGAGATGATAGAGTGCTGGGATATACGACATTAGTCTAATAGTGCAGGTCATGTAATGATCACTAATTTAGCTCAAGCTGCAATAACCCTTGAACCAACAAATTCACAAATTTGTCGGACTCGTTATAATGTGCTCTTTTTGATTTATTGTTCTGTTGTTCGTTTTTGATGTTTTGTTCACAATATATCAAAAACGAGAATTTTGGTATCACGTTGAGTCCCCCTACTACGTCCAGACAATAAAAATAAAAAAAAAAGTACGTTGTCCTATCAAATTACTTATCGTCGATCTAGATTATGATCATCATCACACGACCTGCACTATGTAATTCGTATCGGTATACCCCAA